TGGTGGATCAAATGTATATTCTGAAAACAAACAACCTTGACGGAGATAAATAGAATGTATAAATAAATATTACACTGGTGTTGATTACCACGGATTAATATTCCTATTGGAGAGATCCAAATGCAAATATTAGCATGTATAGTATATTAATTTACAACAAGCTATGGTGAAAATGAATTTTTTTGGGTAAACTTGGTTGGTCGCACATTGTATTATTATAAAGCTGTCATATCCATGTGAAAATTCCTCTTAATCTAAGATCGGAAGGAAATCCACGTGCTGATACGAGCGACACGAAGGCGCACGCGCCGTCCTTTTGTGAAAACAAAAATACATTATAAACCAGGACAAATCCACCCGATGCGAGAAAGTGTGATGAGTAGACGGTTTCGTCAGTGATTAACCCGTGGATACGCAAGGTACGCAAGGCATTTTTTTTCGGGAAAATTCAATATAGTGTTTTTGTATTCTAAAATCCCATTGGATCATAGAATTGCAGTTTTAAATTTATACCGCAAGAGGAAAGCTGAGAACAAAAAAGTAGCAACTAATTTGGATGGAAAGATCCAGTATAATATGACATTCAACCACACAAATTTTAATAGAAATTCACGGAAACGGACTTCAAACACCTTTTATATATAACAAATCAACTTTTGCGAGTCGAAAGAAATTTGTAATCACAATCCATTAAAGTAAGCTGTTCCTAACGGGTTAAGTCTACATTCCACAGCTTCGCTACGCACAGCTTGTCGGGAGGGGTTCGAGCGGCTCTTTAATAAGTCGATTGGTACGCGGGATCGTGGGAAAGCGCGCACCGGAGGGTTCACAACAGTCGGTCGCATGCCTGTTGAACGTTATTATCAAAGCATCTGTCAGCAAACGCGCGGCCCGTGAAGCTCAACTCTCCCTCTCTCGTTTTCAATAATTTTTGTTGTGGGAGTCGTTGTCATTAAGGTATTTTAACGAAAATTTTCTTCGAAAAACTTGATTATACGATATTTTGGGGCTTTATTTAATAATACGAGGCCATATATAATATGTTATATTACGATCCGATTATTTTCTTGATAGCAAGAAAGGGTTTTTTCAAGTCACATATATACCGCCATCTATTGGCATCTCTGTCGCAATGATAAACGTATGAATAGGTATTTGGGCGAGTGATCGTTTTTAATTGAGAGTTCGGGGTTCATCTTTGAAACTTGTAAGAAAAACATTAATAGTAACATCCGTCAATTGCGACGACCTGAGGCCTGGTTTCGGGTGAAATATTCCCGGTGTTTACTTGATCGAAACAGCTTGTGAGCGGTGGGAAAAAAATTTCGCGCGGTATTTTCAACTGTCTACAACGGATATTCTATTCTAGCCATAACAAATATAATGGATAAAATTTACCTTGGTGGCACGCTGTCCGTTCTTATTTCTTTTTACGTGTGGACCATGTTTAACATAACGCCCGGACAATTTGAAGAGATATCCCGAATTGAACGTTTCATCAACTTTTTACTGGAAAATATTTGCTCGCAAACGTTTAGTTGTCATCAAAGTCAAACCCGAAGGTCAGCTTTCTTCATCCAATAAATTAATAATAGCGGTGAATTTTAATATTCCCCCATTCGGTAATTAGTAATATCCTATGATGACATAATAAAACGAATTGGTTTTCAATTTATTGATATTCGAAATCGCAAATCAAAGTCATCGCTAATTAATTCAGAATAATTCCGGTGTCACACTTGATTTTATTTAGTATTATAATGTTTACGTAATGGTTTCCTGCTTGTCTTTGAAGACGTTTCACTCGGCCAATCACAAATCATATATAAATAAGGATTTAAAGCTCACTTATCACGATATATTTCATGGCCAATCATTTGTTAATCGTGGAAATTGGTTCTACTATTCTGTTCAAATGATTACGTAACAAAACTACATGTTCCCGTGATTTTCATAATGAAATGTTCTCATCGTTACGGACGAATTTCTCGGAATTTCTTTTTTGGTAAGTTCACGAAAAGTCTACTAAGCGACTCATAAGGAGATAAATTATCTCCATGTTGCGACGAATTAAACTAAATCGCGGTGATGTAACCACAATTAGTCAGACACACACCTTATTTGAATAATTTGCGCCATTGACCGTATTACTTCATCGACTATTGGCAAAATAATCTTGTTTCAAGTAGAAGGATAAGTACTGTGTTGCTCAATAGAATGACGCAATTTTGAATGGCTCAACTCTGTTCGACCTACCGGAAATGAATCGAACATAATATATTTTATTCTAATTGGCGACTAATGACAACATCACCATCATCCTAACTCATAAAATCCAAATTGCAGAGTTAAATTAAGTGAAACTTTTAAAGTGTAAGGTTTATTTTAAATAAGAAAAACAATGAAACAATAAGTTCTCCGCGTGAAACGTTTTTTTTTTTTTAATTTGAATGTTTCCTTTCAAGCGCATAAAATCTAGACTATATTGTGATTATCACGTATGTCATATAATATACAATAAATTTTATGTCAATCGTGGTAAAAGCATTTTTATCAAAGTAAACATAAATCCAATCATAGACTTGACAAACTTAATTGGTCGGATAGGCAAACATTATATCACGTCATTGAACAAACCGCCACAGAAGCGAAGAAGCAACTACTATCATAATATGAATGAGCACAATTCAATTCTACTTATCTTTTCAATATTTCCTATCCGCCGATGAACATGATCTCACTTGACACAAGACAAACATCCGAACGTCGACGATCGTTCCCCCAATAAACAATTGACTCCATTTTGTGTCCACGTCGCATGCCTTTGATCCATTGTTTTTCCACTTGTGTCTTTTCGCTATAACAATTAAACATCATTCTTGTTCCATGCTCCTTGTAACATTTCATGAAATCCTACTTGTTCGCGCGAAAGATCAAAACATGATTCAAAATCTTTTGAGGATAATTGGAGATGAACTAATCTTTAAATCTTAATCTTATCCACTGTCAGCAATCAGAATTGTTCTTCAGAAGGGATAAGAAAACTTCTCTGTATGCGAAAATATAAACATACGCTTGGAAGTTATATTTATATAAATCTGATCAAAGTGAGGTCACAAGAACTCGATAAACAGCTAAATAGCTTAATTTGATTTTGATTTTTTTTACTTTCGAAAATTATTTTAATCTAATCTCTAATGTTCCAATCAAATTTTGAACTCGCTTTTACATGGACCATGGTCTTTTCTTTTATATAATAAACAGTTATGAATAAATACGTTTGATCAATTCATATCAGTCCGTTGTTTGGAATACTCTTCGGTGTGAAGTGGGCATAGATGACCAAGTATGATGGCGCCAAAGATGAGCCCGGTGCCTTGACACGCGGCATAATCCAACCTTTCTGACTGGGTTGGTCAATAACGGGGACAAAAGCATGTTTTTTTGTTCATAATTGATTAAGGTTTCGATAAACGGTGATAATCGATTCCAAACTCCAACCGTATTTTATCTAAAATCTCGATGATCTATCATGAGCTCATATATGATTATACACAGAAATGAAATTAATTCCAACGTAGGATTCCAATAAAATAAATTCTCCTGACGTCTTAGTCAGTTCTTTTCAAATTAAATAGCTATTTTGCCAGATTTGCAGTTTCATATTTTGTTGACAGAAACGGTAGGTTTGTTGATAACTGTCAATGACGGTCGAGATGAACAGTAGATAAATTGATATTAGTCGGAAAAACGGTTCGCACTGGCAGTATATACAATACACACCCACCACATAAAATATCACATAATATATGTTTACAATGCTTGTCTACCAACTAATCATACGCATAAATATCAACAAACTTTTCAGTATTAGCGTTAAATAAATTTGTTGTTGTTTATATAACACCTATGTATAATTTGTTAGGACGTGGCAGTAAACGTCGACGCTGTCAAACGCCTTTAAACCTCTTATAAGGCAAGTTTTCCATAGATATAAATGTTTCACAGCGGCGCAGTTGGTTAAAGCATTGTTCCCCGCCGTCAAAGCTTAGGATCCTATAAGACAAGTTTTACATGGTTTCATGTATCGACATACTTTATTGGTGAACGTCATCATTCATAGATGTCAAAAACTACTAGTGTCGGCTATATTGTTATTGTTAAAAAGTTTTACATATAATCGAATAATTTTTCGTGTCTATAATTTAAATATTTCATTCTTCGATCCGCTTTTGCTTGTTTTTTGTTGTTGTTGAAAATATCATATTAATCGTTTTTGTATATCAAAAGTCTCTCACTTCGTTAACGATAGTATCATGCCATCCGAGGACATTGTTGTTCGTTACACTACTGAAAACGCTTATCGGTGATTCATTCGCATAAAGCTTACGTATCAAATTTAACAAAATAAGTAATTATAAAAAAACAATTGTGATTGCGATATTTTAAAAGAAACAGAAATTAAACAAAGGCCTCAGACAGGATTTGAAATTTTTGTCATGTGATATCTCTCATAGTTGTGCGACACGCGTCCGAACGTCTTTCACACGACTAAATCCGCACATAACAACACGAGTCGTTTGATTTACCGTTCGAAACACGATATCTTCATCGTAAAATGGGTCGGGCAGTTCCTTTTAGTTTGGCATATTGCCCGACTGCCTTGCTCGAACATAAACCAGTTGCTACCAAATCGTGCTTGATCAATAAAAGCACCCTATTTAATTAACATGTTTTGTTTGCGACACGTATCACTATCATATCTCCCGAGTATGTTATGGAATCATATTTCAAAGATTATTAATTTCAAGTGAAGTACGTCTTTATCGTCCCAAACTATCTTTAGTACATTGCAAAGTTAATCTATTTCCCCAATACCAATATTCAAGTATACGTTTAAATACTATCTCGCAACAAACTATTTACTAAAATCTTTTTCCGATTCTGAACATTCAACAATATGACTCCGAATAACCTGTACGTCACACCACAAATACATATTATTGAAACAAGCTTAGATCACGTAGATTTATTAGGAAAATACTGTATTCATATCATCACGCTATTCAGGACTAATTCGCATCGAGTATTTTAAATTGGAAAACAAGAAAAAATAGAATATAACGAACAAAATAGAATCACACGTAAAGGCACAACGGCGCGTGTGTTCTGGTCAAAAATCTGAAAGATAGATTTGTAAAAAAGAAACACTGCTAAAGACTACAAAAAATATATTTGAAAATCAAACTAATCTAAATAATGAGCGGATTTTTCGGTCCGCATCTTGTTGATCACATTCGTTGACGTAAATAGGTCTCACAATAAAATATTTCGCAAAGATAAATTGGATGAAATGAATTAACAAACACCCCGTCGAAACTACTAAATGTATTCAGCAGCGTCCGTGATCGCCTTTATTGAAAATCAACGTGGAATTTAAAATTTCTGATTAAGCGATATTGTAGCTTCAGTCGTTGCATTGGGAAATATACAAATGGTACTGTCAGTGGCCTGATTTAGGAAAGTAAAAATGGCAGTAAAAACAAAAGAACTATCATATAAACCACAAACTCTAAAAAGAACTAAATTTGGAACGTTGAAAGCATTGAATTATAATATGTAGTAATTTTACCAAGGACGCCATACCGATTCGCTATTGTCGCTACCGGTAGGAGATGGCGGGGAATGGGGTTCTTTTTTAATGAATGGTTGTTGGTCTTCTGACGACAAATGACGTTCTTTTCTTGGGCTCATGTAGGATGGCATGGAATATATGGATTCTGGTGATTCGGAACGATATACTTTTGGTGACGCTCCACCCTGACTGCTGCACGGAGACTCGGAGAGACTTCTTGAGCCTGGTGAGCATGGTACTTGTTGCATTTCCGGGGAAAATTGGGCTGCGTTTGGCAGGAATACGAAGCTTCCTTGAAAACGTTGTTGAGTTTCCGGAGAAAATTGCGGAGACATGGGTTGAAACTTCTGGGCATTAGACGGCGGAGAAAGAGGCGGTGATGATGAGCTGTATGTTGGCGAACATTTTCCGGTGGATGGCGATCCGCTCATATGTCGCGAGTGGTGGCCTGGGCTTGTTGGCGACATAACAGGGTATGGACGATGACGATTTTCAGCTTGTGTGCGGGATGAATGATGATGACTTCCGGGAAAATATCCATGATTTCTTACATTTCCAGCCATTGCTGCAGCTGCTGCCGCTGCAGCCATTGCTTGCATCTGGGTATTGGGTGCAAGCTGGATCGGCATTGGCTGGAGTGCGGTTCCGGCTGTCATTGGAGCTCCGGTTGTCATCAATTGGGCGTGTGGATTTCCGGCCATCAGGTTTGGATGTCCAGCAGTGTTCCCCAAGTGCGACATGAGCCTAAACGAAAAAGAAATTTATCATATGTGCTAGCGAAAACACACAATAACCAACGTAGTATAGTAATATATTTTGATTCGAAGACTTTCTATTATAAACATTACTTATATTTACTCATGAATCAATGTCCAAATGTGAAAAGTGAAATATTTCACTTAATTTACCTCGATTTAACATCAGGGCGAAGATTTTCAGACGAATTCTCGAGAAATTTGGAAACTTCAGACTTGCATTCAATATATCCTGTTCGGTATTTGTTAAGAACTGATGGATCAAGTGCCATTGCTGCAGTTATCCTTTGTCGCTGTATGCTTCGTAAGTATCGAACAGTCATTTCCAAGATATCTGCTTTTTCCAACTTCGAGTGGCAGGTGCTCTGCAAATTGAATACAAATTCGTCTGGTCATTTTTTGTTCAAAAATTTTAGTTCTTATTTTATCTAATGATTGAAATATTTATTGGTGTGAACAATGAGTTAATTCAATATCCTTTGATAATTCAAATAAATTTTAAGTTATAAAAATGTTGTTACTTACATCTTTACGAAGCGCGTCCAGAAGAATGCTTTTCAATTCGTTCAAACTTTTGTTGATTCGTTCGCGTCTGCGCTTTTCCATCATAGGTTTAGAGGCCTGTAATAAAATTATTTTCATTATATAAATGATTATATTTATTTTGTTATCTATTTATTTGTATTTCCCAGGCTTTACTGGATTAAAGATAAAACCAGATTATTTTGATTTCAGAATTTAGTTTATATATATATTATGGTTGAATAATAAGAGATAAAGATATAACTTACCCGACGGTCTGATTTCATGATTCCATGCCCGTTTGGCGAAACAACTACTGGTGTGTGAGGTGCCATTATGGTCTTCATTAACTCAAAATAACAATAAATCCGTATCCAAAAAATATGATTGTTTTTATTTGCAGTATTTGAGATCGTACAATTCTCAAATCTTTGACGGTAGCAGTTGATAGGTATCGGCTTCGCAAATAGAAGCTGATCGTCGAATAGTTCTTCGTTTTAACTAATTAGTAGACTATATAAGTCGTTGTACAATATTGCTGTAAATAGAAAAGAATGTTGAATTAGGTGGATTGTCACAGGAAAAACTTTCATTTTCGAACCTGAGCGGTCGTCAGCGAAGCCATTGACCACCGTAAGAAGCTATTTCGGCTCGTTGGCTCTAAGGCGTTCAAGACAATAATATCGCATTACGGTACGCGCAGTTTTTATATTGGCGATATCAAGCGTTTTTCTCCACTGCGTCGGCAATTACTTTCTTTTTTCTTTGTTCACTGTGCATCTTTTTCTCTCTTACGCCTTCCGCGCTTTCCCTTTGGTCGTAGGAAGTTAGGTAAATTGCCTACAGATTAGCACGATCGTGTTACGTCTGGCAGCTTCCCGACTCAATCGTTCCCAATGCTAATCAGTCATTTTCGCCTATTGTTTTATGACTCTCTCATCCTATAACGCTTGGAATGATCGTGTAATGATCTGCTGCTTATCTGTCATTTATTACCTAGGTCAATATCTGTAATAATGTTAATGACATGATATTTTGAAAGCGAAAATATTTTATCAATTATATCGAAAGCAAATGTTGTTTTATCAGAATAATACCTTACCACGATGTTGATGAATTTTTATTACCCGTATTTTATTTATTTCCATTTTATATTTATTTCAATTTTATTTTTTTAAATCTTTCATATTTTTAGTTTGTTTGACGATATATTGCATATATTATCTTCACAAAAAAGGTGTCGTGGAAAGGTCTCCGGAATAGAAAATAGATGGGGTTTGCTAATCTAAGGGCTAAACCTCACTTTGCGCCCATATAAACAAAGTTTTCCACGCATTAAATCGCTCGCACAAAAAGAAACAAACCAACAAAATCCGGCGGCGAAAAACACACCGTGTACAAAGGGATTTGGGGAACGCGCGTGATGATGATTGAAGGCTAAGAGGGATAGTCGAGGGGAGGGGAAGGGGGTTCGAGTGGCCACCGCTGTGAAGCTGGTGCGAACCATGCCGGCGGCGCGTTCCCACGGTCCTCAAGCGAAAATCAAATGGAGTGTAAACACGCGCGCGAGCACGGGATCACACACTCGAAAAGACTTACGCGTGCGAGACGACCTCCCAATATATACGTTGTTGAGTCAGTCGACTGCTGCCGTTTTATTCCTTTCGTTTATTATTGGGTTCACCACCACACCAGACCGAAAAGAATTTCATTTAGTAAATTAGTGTTATCAGTAACCAAACGTGGGAAATGGATATTTCAAATATACAAAAATCATTTATGATTCACAACTGACTATATATTTCAAAATTCTAAATAGAAAAGCGATACGTTGGCTTAACTTTAACAAAAATCATCATTCATCAAAATAGATAAAAAATTCTATTCTAAATATTTTTATTTTTAAATATAAATAATTGGAGTGTAGAAAGTTGCCTGCTTCGGCGAAAGTGTGTTGAGAGTGACAAACAAATTACATTGCTTCATTGAAATTTCCGATTAGTCGGTCCTGGTACTGCATGGTTTTGCGCAATTTCCCAACATCAGTTTAGCCGGTATCCATTAAACTATATTATTATCTCTGAGACAAAGATATCGCTGGATTCCCTGCATTTGTCGGAATCGCATAAAACAATAGATAACATGTTATTAGCAATTTGAGGCACGCTCGGTACCTAGCACAGATTTTGCTCGAAGGTCGATCGTGGTCTCGTAACTAACCTATTCAGTCAATCCTGACTTATTTAATTACAGCTTTTAGAAATGTTCAAAAGGAATTATCGTTTCTAATGTTTGGAGAATGTGACTTGTGGTATTGCCCACCGCTAACCATCTGAGAGCGAGCTACATCACGTGAACGTTTCGACGTGAACATTTTCAACGTAAATAGATATAGATTATTAGTAAACTCGATGAAATTATCAACATTTTGTCTCGAAGCCCAAACCGGTACGAAACAATAAGGCATATCATTATAGACAATTTTTCATTTTTATTTGACTTCGATATCGTGATATGGCTTGCGCAATAACATGATATACACCAACAACAAATTCTGCGACAGCGTAAGTAGATTGTCATTTGTCAGTAGTTTTTTGTTTACATATGTTGATTCTACAATTTGGCAATCAGACCCCGCTGAGTGGTTGTGCCGATCAGACAAAGGTGCGAGTGTATCGTTTCCGAATCAGCGGGAATTGAAGAGAAACATCATTTCCGCTTTATCGACGAACAAAGAGTAATTGGGTAGTTGAAAGGCGCGATATCGTTATTATTCTTCAACAACAATTTCGCGCCATACACATACGACGCATGCTGGGAAGAGGAACTTCCTCTCTAATGTCCCGCCGGCTTGGCAATTAACACCACTGCCGGAAATTTTTGATCTTGAGCGAATGGATTTTAATGAAGAAAGTATAGTTTGTGAAAGAAACAAAAGTAAATTGATTAATGATCAATCATAGTCACGTATCTCTGCGGAACTAAGGAAGTCAAGTCCAGGTGACATGTTTGCATTTGCCGTTCCCAAGATAATCCAGAAGCCTAACATGCGTAAAACTTGGTTGTCGTAAAGGAATTTTCGACTCACATAATCCATTTTGTTTCATAGGAAACTGGTATATTTCTGGTAAATATACAAAATTTGTTTTGAAAACTTTTAACAATATACAAAGGTCCATACACGTAGTCAATTTGCGCCAGTCCTCCCGGATAAGTTTGGATCTTGGGACAAAATAAATACAAAGTCGTATGAAATAAATTTTCATTGTTAATATGTGGTCGCCGCGCCCTGACAATAGTATTCCCGCATAACCAAAAAATCGTGTTCATCGGTCCGGTCAAACGCAGGTCACAAATAAACAAATGATATCATCATTTCCAAACCATGCAATGACTTTGCGTTTGCTAACAATTGAGGTAAATATTACTTTGTTTGTAAAAAAAGTATTCTTTCGATCATCTCTTGACGAGCACGGCCGTTGAAACATTTCGGGATTCATGAACGCCATAAAACAAGGTAACAGGTATTCTCTGTTGTTCACATAGTTAGTGACGTAGCCACTATATACTTATATACTTTTTGTTATACTCGTGTAAACCTGAGACAGGTCTAGTCTGTTTTGTGTGGCTACGTTGGTGGACTGAAATAAACTACACGACTTTCCTATAATATTAAACATAGAAATCCAGATCACGCTTTTTGGGACGTAACTTCTAATTAAACATTACGATCCGTATAATAACCGCGATACCAACATAGTCACCGCCTGGAACGGAACGCTCAGCTTCCACAGAGAAGATTTTGAAGCCTAAAATTAAAAAGTATAAATTGCGACTTTTGACTTCAATTGTAAGTAGTTCTCAAATCCATAATTTAATTGCCGGATAAGTTAAGCGTTTCGTACCAGCTCGTATCAGGTACGGATTTTCACAAATTGCAGGTTATACAAAGTCAGACGCACGCCTATTGTTTGAGTCACGAGCCTGAAAGATGGCCTGGGTCGCCCACACCACTAGTTTAAAGTAATTAAGTCTAGTTTAATGGTGCGACATTCTTCGGCAAGATTAATTAATGTAATGTATACCTACAGAAAATCGTAAAAGATTATCGGAAATAAATGCTGGCTGTTTGGAAATTCGGAAAATATTCCTCATTCCAATATTTTATATCAAAAATTGAATTTATCGTCGTAGTCTAGAATGATTGAAGAAATGCTAATATACATCAAATATATTATATAACATTTGACTTCAACTTTGACCCGCCGATTACAAATGTGTGGCGAGTGGAGAGCCCCATGTCATGAATCCTGAGTTGGAATTTTGGCATTTCCGATTAATGAAAGAAATGGACCGCTTGAAATTAAGCGTATATATGACGACATCGTCAGGCTGCAATAGTCAAATATAATCTCTATCTCCCATAAACTTTTCACTCGTGGACTATATGTAGACGAAAATAACATTAGAATGATGAATCTCTAAACACCGTTCATTAGGAAGCAATTTCAAATCTGTTTATTTATACATTATATTTCCCGTTCGTCTCAAGAGTAATTTTAGTTTATCCAACGAATTTATCTACGTTTTATCAAATCATAATTTGACAGCAGAACTGATCCCGCTCGAGTCCGGACTATGAAAACGCTATGGCCAATTCCAGATCGAAAATGACATATTTAAACCGACAATTATCATATATAAAATAGGGTGTGTCGAGATAGTTTGCAATTACGATTTTCTAAATTTAACTTCCAAATGTGGAAATATACCGCAATAAATATACGAAGATAGCTAGACAATGAGTAGTTTGTCAATAACCAATATTTCGACGTTTACAAATGACTTTATTTTTTTTTCATTACGCAACGATTTGTCCAACTTCACGCCCGTATAAATGAACCACAAAGAAAAAGTTAAAATTTGAAGTCAAGATGTGCGGAGGATTATCAAAATGTTTGGCTTTGCTTTCGTAGTCACAAAAACTTGATGAAGTATATTTTCAAGGCTGTAAAATTATATAAAAGGCAAAATAAATTATTAAAATAACGTCCGAAAATTTTGAGATATTTTTTTCATTATATATATGTAAAAAGTAATATTCATGGATCGCAGGAAAATATGAAAATTGATAACAATGTCCCACTCATTGCTCCGTTTTTATATTTTTTTGTCAGAGCTCCAAAAATATTCAATCGACTCCACCTACAATTTGACGAAAAGTATAAAAACAAATAGAGTAAACCGAGGATACAGAAAAAGCGTGCGAGTTACATTGGGAAGTCTTCATAGATATTCATTCCCTTGCATACGTACGTCGAATCAAATTGCTGTAAACAATACCTTTTTAAATATTTATCATGAGAAAGCGGATTATCGGAATAACAAGGAATTCTATGTTCGATTCCCACGATCTAGAGGCCCCTTGTTACACAATTTTGTGATAAATATTCATGCCTGTAATCGGAAGATTTCGACACTGCGTTGAAATGACGAACTGAATGAGTGATTTCCTTCAATCGCGGGAATCGAAGACAAGATGCTGGTTAAACATGTAGGGTACGCTAATAATCCGTACCTCAAGAATATGATTTTTCATGCATCATGCGTAAACAAGTACAGCGATCCTATGAACAGATTTACGAATC